ATCTGCAACACAGTCACGGCGGAGCAGCTGCAGAGCAACTGAGCCGTAAACGCACTGACGAGCTCCGAGCTGTTCTTCAGGCGTTTCTTGACCACCTTGCTGAACTGCTCCTTGGCGTGCCGCAGCTCCTGTGGCCATGGCTACAGAAGCCCTGAAGGCCTGAAGGTGGAGGTCCAGAGATGTTGGTATCTTGACGTGATGCCCGTCCTCCAGGCCCAACCTCTGTGACAAAATGGAGACGCACCTGCCCGGAGTGATGCAGTTTATCTTGGGGAAGCTGAGCTTGAAGAGCCGACTGTTTCTTTTGGAGTTAAGCGGGAAATACGGTTGAACGATCGCTCCCACTTTTGACGGTCTCTGTTCTACTGGGGAGTTGACTTCGAAAGCTTCGAGGCCCGCCTCGCCACAGCCTCGTTCTCGGGGTACACGCGCTGGCGCAAGAGTCCTTAAGAGGCAAGAGGTACATGGAACCAAGTGGTTTTAGGGTCTGGAATTTCCATGGGTTCCTGCCAGTTCATGCGTCGTTGCCATAAAGGTTTCTGTCTAGGAACGCCCAACGCTCCCGAGCATCCTGGCTTTCCAGGACATCATAACGCAATGCCATACCTACACATACCCTAAGTTCGGAACAGACGAGCGCAGCAGGTACGCAACAGATCATCATGGCTCCATTCCAGCCGCCCCTGAACCTCACAGAAAGAGGGCCTGCTTAGTCGATTTGATTGTCAGGGCATGAGCAGTTTAAGATTCCGTCACTAGGCCCTGAAGAATCATTGCAGAGAAGTCTCCGAGCAAGAGTGGCGTCTGCCCGTCTGCATCCTGGACGTCTTGCTTCGCACCCGCCGAGATCAGGGCCCACGCTGCGCAAGCGTGCCCCTTGGCCATCGCCTGCGAAGAGCAGGACAAAAGCCCGGCTCCTTCGTCAGGAGTCCTGTGCTGCTGTTTTGTCAAAAAACAGGGCCTCGTGCAGGGCCGTACGCTGAGTAGTCTCTTCCTCTAGGTTTACATCCGCCTTGTGGTCAAGGAAGAGCTTCCTCAGCAAGAGGTGTGGAGCTGCAAAAAGGATTCAGGCACGACTAAGCGAAGGCAACGATCCCCGCTGCTGCTTGGTATGTCAACGTTTTTGGTATCGACACACACAGACCTGCATGTATCCTGACGTAACCACTTGTTTGAAAAAATTTTGTGCAACTTGATCAATTGGCAAGGACCCCACCTTGTAGCAGACCACACCTAGTGACAACTCCAACAAGCCGGGACGCACCATGCAGGAGTTGCCCTGCGAAGCTGCTATGTGGAGCATAGGCTTCTTCTTCTCCTGCAGCACAGCCTGTCCGGGATGCAGTCCAGTCTAGACGGCTCCACGCTACAATTCAGCAGGCTCGTCTTCATCATCGAACCATCGAACTACTTCTCCTAAAGGCTTGGAGAGAGTTCCTCGTTGGTTTGCATCGACAACGATGGTAGTAAGCGAATTATTCGCATAATTAACAAGGCCACTACTACAGCGTTGGACAATTTTATGGTTGCAGAATCAGCTATACTTTGTGCGCGGTGACAAAAACATTGCCTCAGCATCCTTTCCAGCCCAGTCGAGTGTTTTCCGACACGCCGGCTCGCTGTTGGCTGCTACATCGGCAGTGAGCTGTCGTTTGATCTCGAACACCCTGTGCCCGCTCGACTCATGGCACAGAGAGAACCAGGTTACCCCCGCCAATTTGGCAACAGCAGTCTGGGTGCAGTGGCCTTTATGAAGAGCATGTACTTTGTTGTAAGCTGCAGCTCGCAGACCAACTCACCTGGGCGAAATCCCATCCACTGCTGCCGAAGTTAACACACCAAAGCTTAGGATTAAGAACAATTGCTGAAGGCGCCTGCCTTGCACTCGAAGCGTGAGCTGGAGGTCACGGTATCCGCCATCCAATGGAGCTTGATACCTTCCCCACATCCCTATGAGACAAGCACTGACAACACGCCCAGGGCTACTTGGCTCATGGCCGATCGTTGAATTCAACGATTTCAACATTTTTGTCCTCGCCAGCCGCAAAATGTGCCTTTACATGCCTTGTCCTGCCACTGCGCAGTCCCTCGACCACGCTGCAGCCGCGCGTCCTCATCGATCAGCTTCAGTCCACGGTACATATCTTCCAAGTTCTCGTAGCTGAGCGTGTCTCGAACGATGTCAGTAAGCCTGTGCCTGGCTTCGATCAAAAAAAACCCAAATCCATCAACCTGTAAATATGGTCGCGGTCCTCCTCTTCTTCGAAGACTCTACTCCACCGGACTTGACTAACCGTGACTTACCAATCGCAAAGAACTTAGCACCGGGTGTCTGGGTGTGTTTTTTGCAAATCTCCAGGGCACATTCCCCCTGCAAAAGGGAATACGATGCACTGCACTGACAAAGCCCTGCGCCGCCGCGGGATACCATCAAGCTACTTTCTGCGCAACCAAGTTGCATCTAACTAACCAGTGGTCTGCCCAAAGCAATTTTAGTTCTCAACACCAGCTATCCTGTTTTCAAGGCCGGTTCTCCGGCCCTCAGTTTTCTGCAGCGTACCTTTGGACACCAGAACTGGCTTTCAGACAATTGGGTGATGGCAAACAAGACTTCAAACACCGCAGACAGTGCAAATCGCTGCATGCCCTGGAGACGCCACACTTGCGTGATTTCGTTGCCCTTCAAACCAAGGTATATATGCCGGCAGCGACTTGGCCCCTCTGAGTGTGGCTTCTCTCTCGGGATCCCCATCTCCACTCTGAAAATTCCGTCCAGCTCAGCCTGCAAGATTGAAGGCTTGGCCGTGCTCAAAAGAGAAAGAGCAATAAGAATGAGAAGCATGGTTCGCCATCAGCCCTAGAAGACGTGAAGAGAACGGCGAACGGCAAGCGTGTGGGAGTGCTTCCCCCGCCTCTTACCCACACACATGACTGCAAGATAACACCAAGCTGTCAGAACAAGCGGGCAGCGCCATTCGATGTTGCCCGCCGCGTCCATGTACTTAAACCTTGCCTTTGACTCGCAGCCTCAGCTTCTTCCAGACGTGATTGAAATCTAGGACTTGAGAAATTCGGATAAGCGGGAAACCGGCAAGAACAACACTCTCACAATCGAGCAGCGTTCTTTGCCTTTCAGCGGAGGCTTTGCACAGGTACCATGAGTGGCGGTCCCGACCCTGTCCACAAGGTCGAAGAAGTGGTGCTGATGCTTGTGCGCAAACTCAAAGAGCTCATCCAGGGTTGGAAAGAACGGCTGAAAATTTACCTGGCGCATGTCCCGACCAAGGCAATTTAGCTTGTCATC